GTTAACTGAAGCTCCCATGACTCTCAATACATGGCAATTCATGAGCAGCTCAATGTTTTTGGCAGTAAAGATTGATTATTCATTACTTACACTTGTTAATAGAAAGCTGATTCAGATCATAGAAGGTTCAAGGACACTTTGAAAACTCCTGTAAAAATGGGATATTATAAAAAAAAAATCAGTGAGCCTTTAAATAGCACTAATTTATTGAAAGTGAATTTTAAGCATTGGCATAATATACAAAACTTGGCAAATTAAACTGAACGGTTGCACAGAAATGTGTAGTTCATCTCTTTCCACACAAAGAAATTCTATTCAGTGATTTATCTGCAAGTGTTTCAGCAAAACTGTATCTCCAGTTGTAAGCCCTAATTTTGGTTTTAGTTAAAATTCCATATTAGGTGGAGAACAGAAGGAAATATTTTGTTTTGGATCATGTGTGAAGTTGCCTTGGCAGCAAGGGAACTTACGCCTGCAGAAAATAACCTCTGTATATGGTTTATAACAACATCTTTTCCTTGGACTAAAGCATCAGACTGACCTTTCAAGGACAAGGTTCTGGCATGTTTATTATCATTGACTACTATCCTGTCTCCAAAAGTCAGCTTAGAGGATGCCGACTACTAGAACAGAGAAGTAGCCATGTACATTCAGACCAGGAACTAAGCTGGAGTTACTAAATCCTAAATCCTGGTTGATATTCTCAAGGGTAGTCATCGCTTACAGTTTACTCTAAGTTCAGAGTTTACAAATGCCCAGCAGCTCCTGGAAGTCTATGTAATTTTAACTACCAAAAAAAGTCTTTAAAAACCTGATGTTAGATACTCCGAATTAAAAAATCTGACAGTGAAAACTATTTTGATGCAGGATAAATTTCTGGTAAATCTGAATGTTTTCTTACACATAAGTTACATTTTCTTGTTGCTTAACATACACTGAAAAGAAAAAAAAAATAGCTAGTTTATATCCAGACATTAAGTAATGCCCTTTCTACTGGGACTCTTAACAAAAAATAATACCTTTTCATGGCTTTGGAGATAAGACTTGTATGCTTTAACTCTAGAAACCAAATAATCAATTGTTTAAATGAGCCTGCTGCTCACGTTTTTTTTTTCCCAGGGGAAAAGAGTGAATAGTTCCATTTTTCACTCACAAGGAGCAAGAGGGCTTTCAATGCACTGATCTGTGCAGCCTTCTTACCTTTCATTGTACTAAAAACATAACACAATAACAGGAAGAAGAAAAGTGATATTTAATTTTGACTTTAATTATAAAGTCAACTTCAGACTTCCTACTCCAGTATATAAACATTCTGAAAGGGACAGAGTTAAGGGTAAATAAGCTTTGGGTACACATTTTTGTACTGTTGGTTGGTGTGTATATGATGGGGAGCAAAGAGTAAGGGATTGATTATTGGAAAGAAAAGAGCATCATGATGTTGCTTCTAGGTGTTTTGAATCCATAAGTGTTCCCTACAAAGAGATTGTATTATTAGCTGCTCATTGGTTCACCAATGCTGTGACAAAATGCCAGCTGCAAAAGTTATCCTGTCTTTCCTGTGGCATATTTTTGTCAACAGAGGTGATGGAAAGATCTCTCCAAAATTAGAGTTGCTGATGGCAATCTGCTCCAGCTATTGCTCTACCTACATCTGTTCTGTCCAAGCCTTGCAGAGTTGGCGAACTTAAGCCATGTGAAAATTGGAAATAAAGGCACCACTAACAGGCCTTCTCTGCAAGTGCAGCTCCAGCCTTGACCAGCTTTAGCTGTACTTTATAGTAGAAGAGATAAAATCTGATTTGTCATCTTCTACACTGATTTACTAAATCCCCAAAATATATTAAGACAACTCAGTTACAAATTCTTTCACACTTGCCTGTATTAATGGAAAACTGTGACTAGTGAGCAATAAATTTTCAACATTGTTGATTTGGTTTTTTGCTGTCTTCTAACTTTGCAGTGGGGGTTGGCATCCTCATGTTTTACCACACTTGGAGCCAAGATCAAATAAAGTTTCAGGTTTATTTCCTAAAGGTCTGGCTGTTTGTGAAATACTGAGATGTCAGGGAATCCTGATTGTTGTGAAATGAGGGTGAGGTGAGACAGTTATCTAAAAGGTAGGTCAGGTATGATCATTGAAATTCAAAGCTTTAGCACGCAACTCCAGGCATAAAGCACAGAAGAAATATGAGCTAGTAACCCAAAAAATCCATAAAACAACTAGAAAGTTTCAGACAAAGAGTTTGTAGAGAACTCTTGTCTGAATGACCTCTGATTTCCAGATGAGTTGGGAATGGGCTAGGAGGGACTTGGATGAGTTGAAAGAGCCCTCACCTGACTTTAATGTGAGGATACTTAAACAGCTACATAAAGACATAGCATCAACCTAGTGGGAATGCAGCTGTTTAAAGATTCAAGTTTAAACTGTTTAAAATCCTCTCTCAGAATGTTGAATTCATCATTATGAAGCAGAATAAACCTTCTAAACTGCTTGTCTTCCGCTGAAAGTAAAAACAAAATTGTCCACTTTTGTACCTTCATTAAGTGGAGTTGTTTTGGAAATCAACATTCTCCTGAGATCTCAAACGTACAGATGTCACTTATGTGACAAAGCAGATAAGTAAAATGTTTTTTCTACTACACAACTTCATATGCTCAAGTTTCCCAATTGGAAGGAAGAATGATGATGGTTTTTATTTGTTTATTTACCATTTACTAAATATTTGAGGAAGTTTCTTTTCTGATTTTGCTGAGACAAAATCCTTGCAAAAACTTTGTCGTCTAAACTATGAATTGACTCAGAAAAATTTCCCAAACTCTTGTTTAGAAAAACAAATTATTCATTTAATCAACAGTCATGTTAGTTCTTTTCCTGATGTTCAACTTAAAAAATGCAGTTTTTCGTTGATTTATTTTTGCAACTACTTCTCTCATTTTTCTTTGTCAACTACTTTCAAATATCATGTTACTGTTATCTAAGATTGCTATCAGTGAAAGGTAGAAGTAAAAATTACATCTTTTTTTCTTTCTCCTTACTTTCTTTCAAAGAAAAGATGATTTAAAAAACTAAGTGCCATTTACACCTTCTTAGTTTTGCCTAAACTGTAGAACTGCTGAGCTATGCAAGTCTAGCCTACAGCCTTGTTCCCTTGGATTACTGGTGGCACTATTTTCCCTTCCTTCCTGTATTGGTGGTTGAGTTTGCTCCACTAAAACTCAAGGCACATTGAAGAATAATTTGTATCCCAATCATATCCTGATCTACAGTCAGGACACGGACAAAATATGTACCCATACCAATAAGTTGGGAAGGTCAGCTAAATCACACCTGATTTAGACATGTATAATGAAGACAGTAAATGTACTTAATACATTGCCTTATGAAACACATAGTTTCCTGGTACCTGTAAAAACTTGAAGTGGTTGTTTATGAAAATCTATGGCTAATGCAATAGGCTTCCCATCAGTCTACCACCATTCCTTCACTACCTCTGCTCTACCTCTCTCTGTGTAAAGATTACAATGCTAAAAACAAACCTCAAAAGACTGACTATTCCTGTCTTACATTTTGCAAGCAATTAAATTTCTTTTTGAAAGGTAAGTCAGATCAAGTATGAAAGTTGTTAGATGAATACAGAATCTACACAGAAAAATCATAGAATCATAAAATCATAGAATCAGCCAGGTTGGAAAAGACCTCCAAGATCATCAAGTCCAACCCTTGATCCAACACTGCCATGGTTACTAGACCATGGTACTAAGTGCCACATCCAGTCTCATCTTAAAACCTCCAGGGACGGTGAATCCACCACCACCCTGGGCAGCCCAGTCCAATGTCTGATTACCTTCTCCGTAAAAACCTTTCTTCCTAATATCCAACCTAAACCTCCCCTGACGCAGTTTAAGACCATGCCCTCTTTTCCTACTGCTGGTTGCCTGGAAGAAGAGACTGATGCCCATCTGGCTACAACCTCCTTTCAGGGAGTTGTAGAGAGTGATGAAGTCTCCCCTGAGCCTCCTCTTCTCCAGGCTAAACAACCCCAGCTCCCTCAGCCTCTCCTCATAGGACTTGTGATCAAGTCCCTTCACCAGCCCTGTTACTTTTCTCTGGACCTGCTCCACCACCTCAATATCCTTCCCGAACTGAGGGACCCAGAACTGAAGGACACAGTACCCAAGGTGTGGCCTCACCAGCGCTGAGTACAGGGGCAGAATCACTTCCCTGGTCCTGCTGGCCGCATTGTTCCTGATCCAGGCCAGGATGCCATTGGCCTTCTTGGCCACCTGGGCACACTCCTGGCTCATGTTCAGCCTCCTGCCAATCCAAACTCCCAGGTCCCTTTCTACCTGGCTGCTCTCCAACCACTCTGTCCCCAGTCTGTAGTAGCTGCATGGGGTTGTTGTGGTCAAAGTGCAGGACCCGGCACTTGGCCTTGTTGAACCTCGTTCTGTTGGACTCAGACCATCTCTCCAGCTTGTCCAGGTCCCTCTGAAGAGCCCTCCTGCCTTCCAGCATATCAACACTCCCCCTCAACTTGATGTCATCTGCAAATTTGCTAATGGTACACTTGATCTCCTCATTCAGGTCATCGATAAAGATACTAAACAGAACTGGACCCAACACTGATCCCTGGGGGACATCACTACTGACCGGTTGCCAACTGGATGCAGCACCATTCACCACTACTCTTTAGGCCCAGCCCTCCAGTCAGTTCCTAATCCAGCAGGGAGTGTCCCTGTCCAAGCCATGGGCTGCCAGCTTTCCCAGGAGTATGCTGTGGGAGATGGTGTCAAAGGCTTTGCTGAAGTCCAGGTAGACCACATCCACAGCCTTCCCCTCATCCCCCAGGTGGGTCACCTGATTATAAAAGGAGATCAGATTGGTCAGACAGGACCTGCCCTTCCTAAACCCATGCTGGCTGGGTCTGATCCCTTGTCCGTCCTGTAGGAGTTGTGTGATTGCACTTAGGAGGATGTACTCCACAACCTTTCCAAGCACTGAGGTCAGGCTGACAGGCCTGTAGTTTCCCAGTTCCTCCTTCCGGCCTTTTTTGTGGATCAGCATGGCATTCGCCAACTTCCAATCATCTGGGACCTCCCCAGTGAGCCAGGACTACTGGTAGATGATGGAGAGCAGCTTGGTGAGCTCTTCTGCCAGCTCCCTCATTACCCTAGGATGGATGCTAGTCTCCGACTTTGTATGTTTTTATATCTCTTGTAAATGTGACATTTGTAAGTGGTTCCGACAGAAGACACATACTAAGATCTTGAAGCATAATTCCCTTTTACTGTAAAAAGCTTCATGTGCTGACTCTGAGAGGAAAATGAGATGAACACTAAACATATCTTTCAATCTGTCTCAGAGTGTGTATATAAAAATCCTGAAAATTGTCTACCACAAACAATGAAAAAATCAACCAATACAATATGATATTATTATCTGGATAATTTGCATTATATAAAACAGAAATTCCTTTCTAAAAGGAAAGAATGTCTGTGAGACTCAGACATCTAAATCAGTATTGTCATTTTTTCGTGACTCACTATTGCATGATCTGGTACAGTCTTGCGGTCTCCTGCCATACCTGGTCACCTGCCATACCTGGTATTAAAAACCAGGCTTGCCAGCTTAGTCTATCAGATGTCAAGGAGGCTTATTAACAGAAGTTTTAACTTCTTTTTACCTTGAAACCATACACTTTGACAATAGAGAACTTTTAGGAGAAAAAAAGTCTTAAACTTCTTCAGCAGTCTTAATGGTATGTTCATTCTTTTTCTTAAAGCACAGTTTATCTGTGAGGCATTTTTGTCTCACATTTTAGTCATACATTGCAAAGAGAATTAATTTTTTTTTCTACTATCTCATCTCTACTTAGACTGTTTTTTTTTTTTTTTCATTTTAAGCTTATCAATATCAGGAAAGTCTTGCTTATATCTAGTGAGGAGGTTGATGATTCCTGCTATTTGTTTGAAGAGCATATTAGAGGCAGATGATGAAAAATATTACAAGAGTTCCAGATCAGGAGAAAAGGATGAACATTACTTTGGTTCTTCCCTGTGGAAATACTGCTATTTAGAAAGCTCTCTGTGTAATAAATATAGGAGATAGGAAAATCCCTTAGTAGAACATCAAAGCCTTTAAAATTGAAAAAGAAACCTCTTTTTAATTGATCGTTCTGTGGCTGGTCACATCAGGGAAGCTATATGTGCTTCTCTGCCTCTTTTACCTCCCTCCCATCTCTCTTCTAGCAAAAGAATGACTGAATTAAGAGAAAGGACTTTGGCAGAATACAGAAGAGCAGAGGTCCTTCTTGGTATCTTGTCATAAACTGATAAGCAAAAATCCTTCAGGAATGCTGGGTTTCTAAAATGGATCAAAACTCTTGTCTTGATGTTGAATTCTGATTTAGTCTTTGCCACTAAGATGACTGAGTACATGGTCACTACTGAGAAGGTAACATCATACTGGGTGGAAGGAAGGCAGTGATATCTAAGCTTCCACAGTCTTTCCCTATAAATAGTATAATTTTAAAATCAAAGTTGACTTTTAATGATGAGTTGTCATTACCAGATATGTGATGTGGCCTGTCCTTTTATCTGTCCCTGTCTCTTCTACAGAATTCTTCCTGCTATACATTTTTTTCCTATTTTTTATCCACTCATTTGCTTGTGAAATCTCTCATTACTATTTCATTTTTGTTGATATTTTGGTTATGTTGTTGTAATATACATACTAAATATACATACTAAATTTACTGTTTACATAAAAAGGTCTTAAGTACAAGTAAAAAACTGTGCATTGTATAATTTGCATAGTTTTTAAAAGAGCATAAGAAAGAATTAGACATTAATATTACTGCTGATAAAATTGTATGTACACTGCTAATGAAAAACATTGCTGTGATAGCACTGAGTGTTTGGCTAAAAGCCCTCAAATTGTTTTGTTAATGGTCTTGCTATCCACAAGGAATCTCACATGCCAGACAATAACAGTTCCCCCTGTTGCTCTTTTTAATGAATGCCTCTTATATGAACATGCCCCCTAATCAGAAAAGCTTTTTGATAGATTAGATTAGATACTGATTACAGCTAGAGAGACTGCTAAAAGTTCCATGGAAGTTCTTATTTATGCTTGTGGTTCTGTAAGTGGTCATAGACCTGCTGTGCCTGTGGGGCTCTGCATTACCAGGGATCCAGTCTTTGCTACATCAGCAGTTTAAAAAACTACTAGCAGAGGTAGAAATAAACTCAGCAGGGATTAACCACCTGAGTATTTATTCTGTTTATTGAGTGTATTTTACCACTTGTACTGATTTCCATACTGTGGTTCACAATGCCAAATTCTGTAGCTTGAAATGCAACTCATAAATATCTTGAGGTGGATTTTCTTCATATAAAAAGGCTGAGAATTATTTCTAAGTTCTCTTACTTTTGTTTGCTCTTACAATTGTCCTTGTTTTAGGAGGATCATGTAACAACTTCAGTACGGGGTAGATTCCCCTAAATTACTTTGAATGTTGATGACCATCTATAGGAAAGACATAGAAACTTCAGAAAATTTTAAATATTATGAAAAAACTGACACAGTGTTGAAGTTTGTTATGAGGAAAGATAGAGCCTTCGTGCAATAATTCCTAATCCATTATAGTTACTTAAAATTTGAAAGTCCATGTATGTAATAATGTATGTAGGGTATGCTCTTCTCAAAACACTGTTTTGTACAGAGGTCAAACAGCATTCTCTGACTGCAGGGACATGGTTTCTTATTAAAAACTTTTGTTATTTTAAAGAAACATTGATTTTGGAATCAAAATGAGGAAACTAAATTCTTAAATATCAATGAAGTTTCTAAAGGAAAACTGCAAAATCTATCTTTCAAAGCCTGGTGGTCAAAAAAAAATCTACATTTAACCCAATCAATTACTATTACACGTGCTCACAGAGATCATATAAACAAGCAAAAGAAGAGACAGTTCTGAGGAAAAAAAAAATCATTCTTCAATAATAAATAGGCAGAAGATTTCTGCGAATCAGATAGTTCTGAAGAATTGCAAAGAAAAAGGAATGGACAGGAAATTTCAAGATTCCTTGTATCTTCTGAATTACAGAAAGCAGGAATTATATAATTCTGGAAATGAACTGCTGGATAAAAATAAAGACTAGTATTTTCAAGCAATAGACCACTTTCCATGAGAAGAGGCAGCTGTGAAATCTGGAAGGTCTCCCCAGCCAAACTGATCAGGACAGTTCTAAATAATCCACAAGGGGAGAGTGAGGAAAGGAGTTAAAATATAAAAATTTCTTAGCATAAAATCAAGAAGAAAATTAATTGAAGCACTGTAGGAAATGAAATCAAGAAATCCTGGACTGTCTATACTAGTGTCTTGACCACAACAAAGAATATTGCATTATTAGTCAACTCTAGAGTAATTTTTATTAACATGATATCACTGACATTTTCTTGAAAGATTAGAGACATGAAATCACTTGTTACAAAGTATCTAAGGAGGATGGCAGTATACTCTGTTAAAAAAGGTACTCTGTACCTTCTATCTGTATCTATACCAGTAAATTCAACAATGTTGGGAAACTTTATTGCACTTTGGGACTTCATTGTCCATCCTGCTAAAAGCTTAGAAAAATCTCTGACGTGGTTTTGGCCTGCATTAACCAGTATTTTTCCAAACAATTCCCTGGCACATTATGGATGTTAGCATTGGACAGGGACCACTCCAAATAGGCAGTTTATACTTGGTCACCCTGTTTGCACAGTCAGAGAAATTAATGATAGAATATGGGCCCCTAGGATAGGGTGGGAGGTAAAGAACAAGTAGACTTTGTTGCTTTATTTGAGCTGAGTAGTATGAGATAAAGTTATCATTCTCTCACTGTAAAAAATGCAAAAATATGAATTACTTTCATATCTTAAAAGTATATCTGAGAATAAATTTTATTAGACTCATTTATATACAGGAAAAAATTATCACAGAACTTGTGCTTATTTAGGAATGTAATTTTTTGTAGAAAGAGATCATTTTTAGAACCAACAGAATATACATTGGCACACGCATTCCATATGTAAACACACATACATATATCATTTTTTTGTTTCTTTTTTTTGGGTTATCAGGAAGGAAAGCTTTAAGAAACTCTAAATAGTTGTCTAATAAATCAGCTGGGAAGCAATAAATTGAAAAAAATCTGAATGATAACTCGGAGAATTTAAAGAATGTTTCACTGTGTTTGCCAAAATAATAATCACTGTGTCAAGAAATGATACTGCAATGATGAATGAAAAAAATCCCTAAGTTTACAGGGTCTTTTAAATTCTAAAGGCCAATGATGAAAACAAAGGAAGCTGATGTGAATGACTACAAGGCAAAACTGAGTATAAACTGTAGAAAACTGAAAAGGAAAGCAAAGGCATAGAACACACATGACCACTAAAGTTTAAGGACAATATGAAAGGATTTTTTAACAGTATGTCCTGGTTCTGGCCCAAGTCAGCAACAGTGGGCATGGCCAAGACCCTAATGTTATTCAGGATCATCCTACATCATAGGCAAGGGACAGGGGAAAGGGACCCTTTCTCTTGCTTCCTGGAAGAAAGGGTATTCCTTTTTTGCTTGGGGGAAAACATGGCAGGTGGAGGGACTTTTTGAGTTTGGTTTTCATTGTCCCAGGTTTGGTGAGCATTTTGCATGTAAATCACCCTCTCTTTGTACACTTTTGTTATGAATCATCAAGTCACAGAACCATCAATGTTGGAAGAGACCTGTAAGATCATCTAGTCCAACCATCAACCCAGCAGCACCTTAATCACCCCTAAGCCATATTCCCAAGTGCTACATCCAGATGTCTCTTGAACACTTCTAGAAATGGTGACTTCACCACCTCCCTGAGCAACTTATGCCCATGCCTGACCACTGTTTCAGTGAAAAATGTTTGTCTAATACCTAATCTGAACCTTTTGTGGCATAACTTAAGGCCATTTCCTCTCATGCTTTCACTTGAGACATGGTAGAAGAGACTAATCCCCACCTCACTACAACCTCCCTTCAGGTAGTGATAGAGAGCAATGAGGTCCTCCCTGAGCCTTCTCCTCATTGTCCAGGAGTACAGAAGAAGTTCTGAATGGTTTGGATTCTATGGTACAGTGAACAAAGGTGATGAAGCAAAACATGTAAAGCATTTAGAGACAATCATCTGAGTACCTGGTTAGTCTGTGAAAATGACTATGCTCTGACTGAGTCAGACCAAAAATCCATTCTTGCTTTAGGATATATGTCCTCTTTTGAAACAAATAAAAAGGCCAGAACTGGGGACAGTGTCAATTGGCTTTTGTCCTCAACAGGGATTAAGGGGCTGTAGCACTGAAAATTTTTAATAAATCTCTGGCCATAGGACCTTATACTGTGGTAGTATAAGTTCAGGATGAGATGTATTTAAAAAGACCAAGTACAAATAATTGATTTTGGAACAAGAGAAAACACATATGGAGAGTATAGATGCTAAGGAGACACTGACTCTTTATTTTTTTTGGTTAGGGTTTAGAAGCAAGGTTCACAGAGATAGGCATTGTAGGTGTGGTAGTCATTATTAATGTTAATAAGGCCAATTTACTATTTAGGGTGCAGATAGCAATACAAGGTAGTAGTAATGAGCTTATATGAACAATATTTGGAATTGATATGATGCTTTTTGAAGGCTGTGTCCAGTTCTGGTGTCCACATCTCAAGAAGGATATGTTAACTCTACTGAAAGTCCAATCAAATGCTTAAATGAATAAAATAAAAGCATTATATAAAGAAATCTGAGGAGCTCCCATCGAGTAATTAATAGGTAAAAATTTCAGCAATTCAGTCACAGTCTAAATGTACAAGCAGTAGGATCCAAAATTGATAATATGGTGCCACAGCCCATAAAAAAAAGATTTAATGACTGGAACTAGAAGTTACATTAATTAAGTTGAGAGATGTAGCTTCTATGACAGCAAGTTTAGGTTGCATCTGACACCTCTCTAAGTCAATGGCAGCTTTTCCATACCTCAAAACTTTAAAACTGAATTTGAGGGGAGGTTTTCTTTCTGTAGCTATTTCTGCAATTTTACCACTGCTTCAAAAAGCTTATATTTTGCCTGGTGTCAAATTAACATGACATGAATAGAGGAACTGTAACCTTCTGCACAGGAGCTCTCAATGAATTGCTGAGATTTAAAATGCATATGAGGAAAAAACATATCTTGCATCTTCGACCTTTGTCTTACTTTCATTCTTTTTCCAAACCATTGTCACGAACAGGACACCGAGCTAGACTGAGCACTGGTCCATCCCAATATAGTTCTTACATTTTTGCTATAGTGGTAATTCTTCCTTGAATACCTATGAATGCCAACAGAGATTAAATATATTCCATTACACATAATTGTTGTCTTTTGTAGGCTTGAGTAGAAAAAAACAGTGCCAGCTACTCAGGAAATTGCATAGCTCTTTTAACAGTTGAATCTGTAATTATATACTGATGCCAGATTACCACAGGAACAACCAATGGAAGCAACTATGTAGCACCACGCAGATTACACACCTGTATTTCAAATTAAGTGTATTGGTCTTGTTAACTAGTCGGGGCTCCACTCAACTGAGTTAAATATAGCACCTGCATGTTTTAATTAATGCAGATTTCATCAAGGCTTTAGTCATTTACTCCTTTCTAGGATTCTCACACCTGATCTTTAAGAGTGTGAGCTATTGTAGTCTTATGTCCAATCTATTATATATGAGTGTTATAAAGCTTGATAAATATGAAACTGCCTCTTACGAAAATGGCATTTTTCCAGTGGCGGAGATTACTTTAGAAGACATTTTGAGCTTTTCAGTAAATTGGTTGCAAATCATTTTGATGTTTAGAGTGCTGGGTGCAAGGATAGTGACAGGTTCTGACAAGGCAGAAAGTGCTATGGCATTATCAGTAAGCCAGGGAAATCATCCTGAAAAGGAATGCTACATTATTTAAATAGAAAAAGTGCTGTTGAGACTATCACAATCTGTTCACAAAGGGCTTATAAACAGAGAGGTGAAACCAGCAGAAAAAAAGCTATTCAGTAAGAAGTATACACACACGCCTCTTTCCTCAAAGTATATTCAGGTGTTCTGTCAGCCAAGCAACAGACAGATTTTTAGAAGAAAACAGAGAAGCAGTGTTTCTAAACTAACTGTAGAAAATTCCCACACAAAAAGTGTGGTTAATTTGAGCAGGGTTTGGAGTTAGAATGCAGTCCCAGGAGGGGATCTAAATGAGGGTGGGCCACCTGATGTTCTTTTCTCAACATCCATGCATCCAGAGGACAACACTGCAATCTTAAAATAATTCCCTGGGCAGATGGATAGAATACCTGCCTGTCTTGTATTCTGTGTGCACGCAGAAGTAATCTTCTATATTTCCAGTCTATCTATATATATGAAGTTTACCCTGGGTACCACATATTTTTAAATGCAATGCCAACACAGTAATACCCTTATTAGCCCCATGTTCTCATGATAAATGCCTATTTTATAACACCATTCTGGTGACTGTTCCTGAAAACAGTTAGGACAAAATTTCTAATCCTCCCCTCTAGCATCTGGAGAAACAAATATTTACTAAATTTTATGAAAACAAGTAATAGAATTATAGAAGGGGGTGGTTTGGAACGGACTTTGAAGACCATCTAGTTCCAACTCCCCTGCCATGGGCACTGACACTTGCCACTAGAAAAGGTTGCTCAAAACATCATCCAACCTGGTCTTGAACACTGCCAGGGAATACAGCTTTTCTGGGCAACCTGTTGCAGTGCCTCACCACCCTCACTGTAAAGAATTTCTTTCTAATATCTAATATAAACCTACCCTCTTTCAGTTTGAAGCCATTCCTCCTTGTCCTATCACTACATACCCTTGTAAAAGGTCCCTCTCCATCTTTCTTGTAGAATGCCTTCAGGTATGGGAAGGCTGAAGGCTATGAAACTGCAATCTAACCTATGAAACTTCCAGATATGTACATTTTGTTGACTGACCTAGATGGCAAATCTATTAATTTTCTATACGTGACCAATCAAAAACTTGGTAGAATCTAGACTGTAGTTTTTAACTGTGTTCACTTTCTGGAAGCATGAAAATGGGAACTACTGGCAAGACCTAAACACATTTGAAAACAGCCAAACTACTCACTAAGCTCAAAACCCAGCAAGATTCAGTTCATAATACACATGCATGCCACACAGTACTAACAAAAAAACCCCAACAAACAATAATGTATTTTTGAAGTGCTTGCATTTTCCAAAGAAGAGATCCCTATGTGACTAATCAAGTATATTTTTTTAATTATACAGAGAACAACAAAAACCCCAAGAGATTACCAAAAAAACTCTTAAAAATTAAGCTAGTCTTTGGTTGTGAAAGCAACTTGGTGTGCAGATAGATGATGGCTCTTTGTGAGGCCCCCAGAGTGAGAAAGTATAGTTACTGTATTGAGACCTCTTAGTGGTCATGCCTGCTGAGCTGCCCCATGTCCACAGGTGACTCATGCCCCATCAGGATCATGCCTGTGCCAGAGGCTGTCTCCTTAACACTTAACCCATCCATAAAATGCACATTTGCACCTGTCACAGGAGCTTCTTCCTCATTAATAGACAGGCTGATACCAGCATCCTTACTATCCACACTTACTGATTGAGGAAGAAATCAATAAGTCAAAACACATTTTGGGTGGCAGAGCCTAAAAAGAATGCCTGATAATTGATGTACATGAAACTGCTCTTTTTAGGGAGTGAAGATAATAGTGTTTCTCAGTTCATTTTGGAATATCTTAGCAGATGAAATAAAGGAGGAAAATTTTTTATATGTGTGTGTTTGTGCATATATATATGTTTTCTTATGGTAAATATTAGCTACAAAATTGAAGTTTTCCCAGAGATGTTAAATTCTGGATGCCCCATCACTGGAAGGGCTCAAGGCCAGACTGGATAAGGTTCTGAGCAACCTGGTCCAGTGAAAGGTGTTCCTGTCATGGCAGGAGGGTTGGAACTAAATGATCTTTAAGGTGTCTTCCAACACAAACCTTTCTATCGTTCTATGAAAACAAAGTTAAAAAAAGGAAAAATAAATTAATTTAGCAATAGGGTATACCCATGGAGTAAGTCTGGTTTTAGCCATTATATAGGGGGTTTCTGTTGGTCACCTCCCTCAGTTCTCAAAATTGAGGGCTTACCTCCAGCATAATTGTGCAGTTTGTCTCTTCTTCTAAGAAGCAATTTTTTTGGCAGTGTCCTGTAATTGGACTGTAACTTCACTCAGTAACTATTGTGTCACAATTCATTTTTTAACCCACTCTTCTATCCTTCCCCATCATCTTTCTAAGTACTAATATTTTGTTTTTCATTTTGTACCTCAACAAAATACAAATAAAACATACTAGGTATTTATGGGGAAAGAAAATATTATAAATATGTAGATATACACTTTTATTATCTCTGTGTTATCTTTTTGCTTCACAAGCTTATGTTTGACACATTTCATAATGCAAATGCACTTGTATGGTTTCTTCAGCTCTATGTTGTAACTTTCATATTTCTTCCGTAAATTTCAATTAGCTTATTTTTTTAACATTCTTTATCATTTTTATAGTTCTTTATATTCTTTATAGTTCTTTATTATTGGAACCAATACTTAAGTTTATTACATGCTTCATATATTACGTATGAGAAGAATGATACAAATCTTTTATTGACTTCTGTAGCCCTCATTTTTGTATTTTCAAGGCAAAACATGACATTAATACAACCAGAAAGGAATATGGGAAAGGTGAGCTTATACTGCTTAACAACAGTCTTATTAATATTGTAACTCTTAGAAAGCTCCTTCAAGATTTTGACTGCCCAAACCACAGAAGAATCTGATTTTATACTAAATTCTTCTTAATGCAGGTTTAGGGGTAGAAAGAAAGGAATTTGAAAAAGGAAATAAATCCATAGAGCTAATTACATACTGATAATCTAATGACTGCATTTTTTGATAGGCTACTATCAAAGAAATTGTAAGGGTACAATTTCTGCAGACACAGACTTACTACAGAAGAAAATAGGATATTTCAGTTAAAAGAGACCTACAGTGATCATCTAGTCCAACAGCAGGCACATACTTGCAGCACAAAACAGAGACTGTTTAAGTGACACTGAATGTCTTTTCCATAAAGTCTGCAGCTGTACACTGTTTTCCCCAAGGAGTGAAGCTGGCTGCAGAGGTTCTAGCCCATATCCTCCTTCTCATTGAGGAGGCTGTGCACTTACACATCTACTTTTCAGCTGGTTGCCTGCAGGATGGACTGTAAATCAGATCAGTGAAATATTCTGAATTAAACAAGTAGTGTTGGAAGTGGTTTTCCAAGTGTTTTTTTCATATTCCTCATTGGGCTTATGGTATAACCCAACACAGAGGGTTGCATCACTGCAACTGAGATCAGTGAATTACACCAAAGGGGCTGGACACAAGCAGCAGGAAAAGAGGAAGGAACTATCTTTGTACAGCTTTTTATTCCTTTTATTTTATGGAAATGTATCATGGAATGGCTATCCTGCCAGCAGGACAGACATCGTGTGCTATACCTATAGTCAGGACATGAATTCCTACTTCTCAGTAATGAAGTACTATTTCCTTCTTGTACATGCTTGTTTAGCCATTATAGGTGCATAAGGTAAAGCAGGTGGGGTTTTTTCAATACTTCTGTTAACTTTTTTTTAATTGAGATGCTGGTTTAAATTGTTGAGAAAAAGAAACTTTGTTCCATCTTTTGAAATGTAGAACTGAATCTTTCATTCATCTGCTTTTCATCCAGTGTTCTTTTTTGGCCTCCTTTGTGTTTCCTGCCACACAATGCAGTATTATTATGAAAGCATTTAAAGTAATGAAAACTATACTAAGAACACATCACTTCAGAAAAAAATTAACCATTTTCTGTATGTAGGCAAAAAAGGAACAGAAATTTACTAGAATTATGAAGGCCACACACACACTTACTGAGCAAATGTTGCGTGATCTCTGAAAATTATCTAATTGAGCCACAGCTGGAGACAGTCACGCATGGCTGTAGCATTCAGAGTGCCTATGACGCCATTTCTTGTTCTCCACTCCCACACAGTTTTTGAGCTAGATTGCTAAAACAGGAATTTTACAGGATATTGAACACTATGACAAAAGATAGGTACTTAGCTATCAATGTCAATATGCTAGTCCATCAGATCTTCCTATTTATACTCCACAGAGGAACAGAGGTATGCTTCTTCAGAGTTGGATAAATTAGGAACTTAATATACATGATTTAAATCTCTCTTTGGCAAAGCCCTTTTTTCCTTTCCCTTGAAGACTTAAGGAAAACTGAACAACTAATGTAGAAACAGTCATTACCTTACTAAAGATAGGCCTTGTTCCTGGAGAACACATGAGCATACAAGTAGGCATCATTTTAAGTACATGGCTAGCCACCAAAGAATTTTTAAATGCATTAAAGCATGTCTGAGTATCTTGTTAGGTTGTGACCAGTTAACCAAACTCAGGCACTAAGAATTTTGCAAGTTATTTTGTCTGGGCACCCAAACAACTTTGGGGAGTGCATCAGTAACTTAGGCTTCTGCTTCTCTCCATTCAGCTTGAAATATGGTTGTAGCGTCTGATCTCAGGCCAACGGAAGTTGATGGGAAGTTTATACTTTGAAGTAGACTTCTTATGGAGCAATTCTTATATTTCTTGTCCAACCATGGCCAATAAAATGGCCAAGGAATGTAGGACAGCTTTCAAAAACATTATAAAGAAAATAAAAAAGTATGAATGAGAACTACAGAGAGAAAAAAGATCTAAGAGTCTGGGAAAATGGCTTTCAAGTTCAAATATTGTGCCACATATCTTACTCTGTGAAGCTTAGAAATATTTACTATTGTATTAAAAATATTTAATCTTTAGACTAATCACAACTGGTGTTGAATTGACACTAGGACCAACCAGGTCAGATATTTAACATCATTAGCCAAAGAGGACATGAACTACTGTCCCTGTGTTATAGACTTACATCTCTTCACTATGAAACAACTGACTCTGAATTTTTAACATGTAGACAAGTCATGAGAAAAATTGAAAAATTCTTTTTTTGAAAAGCAAAAGTTTTATAAGTTTCCTGTTATTAATATTTCATATCCTTATACTATTTGTTACATACTCTAGCACACATAAATATAATTCAAGGCATAAAACACTTTCTTGTATAATGCAATATAATGAGTCTTTAAAGTAAGAATCAATCTGTTTGAATACAAGGTAGCAGATGTGTATTCACTAAGATGAAAGAAAGGCTTTTCTCTCTCCAGTTCATAGAAGATTTATGCTTGTAATTCCTCCTAGAGGATGGAGAAGAAATATTCGTGAATAGAAGGCACAATGCAGTACGATCTAATGGATCAATCTAATTCTGAAACCCAAGAATTTCTTTGCTCATCCATGTATTGTTGTCAAGATTTTGAGTCCTTTCTTTTCTCCAATTTTGTCCCTCAGTCTTCTCACCTGTAAATCCTGTGCATTCCAATGCTTTTAAATTTCAATATGTAAAATGTTTAAGATTAGGAGTTAAGGAATAGTGTTTTGTTTTTCTAATCATCTGGGATTCAGACTGCCAAAGAATGAATGTTGAATATACATAGGGTGTGCTAAGTGCATACAGGAATCCTGATGTACCCACAATAATTTACATCTAGAGGGATTATTACGGTACATGGGTTTACTCACTTCCTATTAATAGTAAAATGCATAAATGAATGTATAATAAAAATAATAATGAATAATATGAAAAATAAACACTTCAGAATTGTATCCTTTCCCATTGAATACAAGGTAATGATGTAGCATAAGAGTTGTCTTTATTTCCTTTCTGTTTTAGTGACTTTCTATGAAATTTGAGAGATTAGATCATACCTCTTGTGTGCAAACGGGGGCTGAATCTTCTCTTTCTTTCAAGAAAAGTTAACTCTATCTGATAGTCTTTCTAACCCCTAGGACTCCCAGGTATTCTATGTTGAGGCCTCTTCCATTTAGAAGCTCTTCTACTTCACATGGAAACTACCACTTGCCATTGGGAGTTTTGCATTTGACTTCAGTGAGGTCAGGATTTCAACTAAATGTTGAAATTCTAAGGCACTACTGAAAATAAGATTTTGGAGAGAGAGTCACTTATATGGTTTTAATATATGGATGTGTAGTGTTTTGAGAAAAAAATGCTCTTTTCAATCATCTTTCAGTAGCGAAATGAGACACAAGCAGAATCTGATCTGAATTATCTCTTGCACTCAAACTGAAGGAAAAACTAACATTTTACAAACATTTACATCTTCACATCTTCAAAATACAAAAAAAGTCACAATCAATGTCAGATCAATATCCTTGTTTTAGATCTTTTGACAAGTAATTGCTCCCTCTCTCTCCCCGCCAACTCTTTCCTTTGACTTCCCCCCACATCTTCTGCCACATTTTAGAATTTGAAATTAAAAGCATAAATTATATGTTGTAACTTGGAGCTAAAAAATGATTCCATCTCTGAATGTTCTTTTAGAACCATGGCCAGCCAAAACTAATTCAGCACAGTCTCGCTGAAGTGCTTGGAGCAGTCTGTCTAAACAGCACAGGCCTTCTTAATTTACCCAACGTTCACACTGCCTCCGATTAGGATGAAAGTGACTTTGCCATTGAAGAAAAAAGTAACTTGACTCTTTCAAGCAGCAGTTGAGAGAGTATGAAAACTAGCACATATCAGGCTTTCAGACTCAGGTCAGCTCCATACCTTCAATCTTCTTGAGGGCTTAACAAAATATTAGAGGAAATAGGTAATCTTCCTGGTTTGTATAGCTGCTGGACATCAGGTGCTGTGTCTCTCCTTGTGCAGACCTGGTTTTTATTAGATATCAGTCAAAAGCCAGTTCAATTTAGCAGACTGGCTCCTTGTAGCCCATTTTCGGTCATCACCCTGAGCAAGCCAGAGGATTTCTGAACTCTCCAATGCACTGCTTACACTCTCTTCAAAAATGGACAGTGGCAGGAATTTCACAAGAAAACTTCCTGCTTGTAGTCACATAAGGCTCTGTACCACAGTGATCCTCAGCAAGAGGAGAGAGTTTGGGTTTTGCTCACATGTGCGATTCTCTTTTCACACTTCTAAGGAAAATCTATGCATGTGGAATTTCAGCTTGAGATCTAGGATGCTGGAATATGGTACTAAAGCACAGACAGGAGGTGTTTGTCAGTTATAGCTACAGCCATAATGGTGCATTTGATGAGTCAAGAAAGAAAGACTATGCAAATATAGAATTAGAGCCTGTAGTATAAGTTGACTGCATCAGCAGGAGAAAGTAAGGTTGCACTTTCTAACTTTGAGGATCTTGACTTTTACAAGTTTAGTAATATCCTTTTGTTTAGAATACAAAAAAACCCACCAAAACTCTGGCATATTATTTTCTGCAAACCATGTAAACAAATTTGTCATGAGCAACCACTTTATATTTGCAATCTATCTGGTTAATGATTTCTTGGACCACCAGTGTATGAAAATCAAACTAAAAATACCTTGTTCTTAAATTATGCCTGTTTTGCAGCAAAACCAAAATCTTTTGAGGTGGTCTGCTTAAGTTATTAAATGTGCGAAACAAAAAATAATTTAGAAAGGAATAAGAATTTTTGTTCATCTTTAAAAGAGTTTAGCTTAATTGTGACATAAAAGCTTCATTGGCATTTATTTAATCTGATTTATTTTCACTGCTACTAAATCTAATTTTATATAGTTGTAGAAGAGTAAATAGATCTCAGTGATTTAAAACCTCAAAATAATACTGAAAATATATGAAATTTGTATAGATAATCGCATTATTTTTGAATAATATGGCTTTTAGGAGTGCTGATGGACTTAGATATAAGTAGTTGAAATACTAGAGTCCCTGTGCTGTTGCTACGTTTTTCACACGATTTTTTTATTGAATTTGCTTTCTTATACCTAAACAGTTGAAGCAAATTTCATCTATCAGGGAAGATGCAACAATAGTTACTTTATGATTATAATAATGCTTAAAACAATGAGGGTAAATTATTTTATATTTCATCCATGCAGTGGGGAAGAATTCCGTAGACAGAAATCTCTGTGCTTTTTCAGATGCTTCTGTTTCCTCTCTCATGTTCCCATGGAAGCATTAGTCTGGAATAAAAACGGAGAAGAGAAAGGATGTAATTTAAATCTTCACAAGAGAGTCAATTTAAAATACGAAAAGTTCCAAATCAATAGTATTAAAACAGTTATTGAATTTAAATATTAATAAGATGGGAGAAATTGATGGACTGGAACCAGAGCTACTTAAAATTGAGGACATTATATAGCTAAACCATTAGTTGAAATAGGAAATCTAATTTTCTTACAAATAATGTACCTACAAATTGGAAATACACTGTTGTGACTGTGATTCAAAAAAGCAGAGAGTAACATATCTCTTCCATTATACTTAACTCGGTGAGTGCCATGTACAATTTATCCCTTCTTTTTGGCACTGTGGTAAAATTCTATAGTAGGCACAGAAGAATCTCCAAATAATCTACTGTCTATGAATTACATATCATAAGTACATACAAAAAATTTAAATTAGGAGCCTGGTCACGTACTGCTGCCATCAAGTTGGCTATAAAGTACACACCAAGATTCCTTTGATTTTCCTGTCACATCACCAACCATGTTACCATGCCAGAAAAAAATTTTTCCTATCATTTCCTACAGCAGAATTGTGAAAGTTTCATGTAATTGCACTGTGACATTGAAGAACATTGTTTCATTTCAATTGTTGTGGAGCAGGGCTTAAGTTTTTACTGTGACAATGAAGCAGATAAGAAGGTGCATATCAGAGAAATGTCACAGATGTACTATAAACATATGTTTTCTATAGTCTAGTTCCATGACTTCAGATGTATTAGGGTTGTTTTTGTTTTGGTGGGTGCTTTTTTTGTTTGGTTGGTTTTTTTGTTTGTTTGTTTGGGGTTTGTTGTTTTGTTGGTTTTTTTTTTTTGGTCTTTTTTTGCTTGGTTGGTTGGTTGGGTTTTTTTGTTTTGTTTTGCTGGTGGTTTTTGGTTTTTTCTTTCGTTTGTTTTGTTAAGGTTTTTTAAAAGCTACAGAACAGTTTTTTGTCTTTTTTTAGAACATCATCAAGCACTGAGAATTATTTTTCAGCACACAACCAAAAAATAGGTTTGCATAACATGAAACAAGCCTATGTTTATTAGAAGCTCATTTTAGAACAGACTTATGACAAGAGTACATTATAAGTGCATACTAGTGCATGTAAATAGCTCTTAGGAGTATGTAAGTAATTTTGGTATTTATTTGACCATTAAAACATACTATTATACACTATACTATTAATCTATAAGTGAGACCCACTATACAGGATTTATTCTGCCTGATCAGGCAATAATTCTTTATATTTATGAGGATCCATGCAGTGCCACAGTTACTTAAGCATTTGAATATCTGGGCTGAATGTTTGTGACTCCTGAAGTTTTTCACAACCTTAATTCACATCTGGATGAGGAAAACAGACTTACCTCAGGATGAGTCACTCATCCGCACACAGGATGTGATAAAATTGCTTGTCTGCTTTTTCTTTGCTCTGTTATTTTTGTCCATCTTATTGAGTTAATTAGTGTTGTAGGATCTAAAGGCTATGAACAAAATAATGCATGAAACACTGCTATGGACCACTGCTCATTGCTTTCCAGAGATCAGAGAAATTCAGTCTCTCAGGTGAGCATCTCTGATGCTGGCACAATTCACAGTGGAGCACTCCAGGGCAGTGCAGAAGGGGTTTCCCTATTGAGAGGAACCACTGGGAAAATAGAGAGAGCCTCCAGGACCCCACAGCTCACGTGACAGCTCCTCTTCTCTGAGCATGGACGCAGGATCACAGCCTCACCCAAAATGGTATAGCGTTATATTTATCCATATTAACAGTCATAGCTTTGGTGAGGTCTACAACAAAGTCTACATTATTCCGGATATTCAATTTTCTTTTTTTTCCCGTGATATTGCACATAGTTCTGCATGTTTGGTAAAAGTGCATGCTAATACTGAGCATGGACAGCCTTGTTTAAAGCTACGTTGGCTGGTAGTTGTTCAGCTGTTGGTTGAACACTGTGAGCTTCTCTTTTGCTATGAGCTTGAGTCTTTCTGTGTTCATATCTCTTTACATTTCCATCATGAGCCATTAAGTCTTGTCGTAATTTGTTATCTAAACTCCCTGGTGTGCCTAAATCTTTGTTGTTTAAATTTGCTATTTTTTATGTTGTAAAATTTAGACAAATTTTCCTCATTAATGCTTTGAATATTTGCATCATCATCAGATTTTTTTCTTTTTTTCTTTTTCTTTTTTTTTTTTTTGTTCTTATGAGTATGTTCGAATTTTAATATATGGAAGGAGATAAGGGGAAAAGAAACGTGTGAAGTAATGAATGCTTATATCCAAAACAGAAAGTCATGACTATACAATAATACAGCAGATGACAAGATTAATATTAATCAGCCTACAACTAGAACAGATTGCACTCATAAATAAACCACTTTGAAAGAAAAATTAAGTAAACACACAAACTATGATGAATTCATGCTTACCTGAAAATTAGAATAGATAGATTGTTTTCAGAAGGCAATATTAGAGAAGAAAGTAAAAAAAAAGTTGAGTTAGAAGACTGGAAAATCATTCTGAGCATCCATGATTCTGTATAGTGATAAAAAAAAAAAATCTCTAAAGTTACAATTTTTAAAGTACTATTCATTGATAGATATAAAACATCACTTGTGGCTCCCGCAAAACTATCAGACATAATTGAAGAATTAATTTATAAAGGCCACGTGGAATCATGGTTCCAAAACTGAGATTCAGTTAGGCATCCAGTTTACTTGGGTAAAGTAGTAAATTCACTTCAGTCTTAAAAGGTCCATTTATTCCATGGATAATCTGGCCTGTTGCCTTTAAAAGATAGCAAGATGCAATAAGAGATCTGAAAATATAATTAAATGTGCATCATCAGATATAAAATATGGCAAATTTTACATCCTGATACACGTCAAGAAATAGGAATGACATAAGCAGACATAAAAGTAGAGGGGGAAGAAAATTATGAGCTTGATTGAATGTTTAAATATTTTTTCACTTCAAACTTCTCTGATTGTACATTGTGGTGGGAGGACTTTGGCTTTGGGACATCAGGTGCCCACCAAGGTCTCCTTTCACTCATATCCTCCGCAAGAGGGTGGATAGAAAATAAGACGGAAAAAATTCATGGATCAAGAAAAGGCAGTTTAATAAAGAAAAAGTAGTGTCTGCAAGCAAAGTCAAAGGAAAGTGGAAGAATTTTTCTTTACTTCCTTTCAGCAGACAATATCCAGCCACTCGCAGGAAATAGGGCTTAAGTATGTGCAGAAGTTACTCTGGAAGACAAATATCATAATAATAAAACACACACCCATCCTCTTCCTCTTTCCTCCCCTTGCCCCTTTGCACCTTCTCTTAGCTTTTATTGCTGATGAAACCTTGCACAGTATGGAATATCCCTTTGGTCAGCTTGGGTGAGTTGTTCTGGTTGTGTTTCCTCCCAGATACTTTCCTACTCCCATTCTACTGGTGGGGGGAGGAATGCTGGAGAGACAACCTTGATGCTGTGGGATCAATAGTCAGCAGTACCCAAAACACTGGTGAGTCAACATCTTTCTAGCTTCAGATGCCAAGCTCACCACTTTTGTCTCAGTGATTGCAAATAATCAATACTCCGGAGCAAGATAAACAGGACTGAAATGCTTACAGTCTGCATATAAGGACTGCTATGGGAGAAATAAGCTCCTTCTTGGCAAAACACAGTTTACTCACCATGAATCTTTTATGTTAATGTGTGGATGAATTCCATAACCCTTATATAGTTGTATGCCACTTTCAACACTGTGAAATAATGCTGTTTTTTCTACCCCCATTTGAGTTGTAAGCCATGTAACTTTAGAGT